GGGAGGCTGCTCTTGCCAATGCCGAAACGTGCCAGACCCTGGCGCTGAAGTTCAGAAAAAGGTTGTCTTGAAACAGGCCTAAAAGTGGCCTGCGCTGATCCCTGGTCTGGCGCCTAAGTTTCAGGGAAGGTCRACTTTATGAGGGCCTGAAAATGGCCCTCCTTTCCAGGCTTTTAGGCTGAAACGACACAAAGGGGCCTGGAGGGCCCTTACTTTTCCATCTGGTCCGGCCCTGCAGGCCCGTGTGGCTGCGCAGTATGCCACACGACCCTCAACCCCTGAAATACCACCCCCCCCCAACCCCCCAACCCCCCAAACGGAACTTCTGTGTTCAAAGTTTTCTTTGTGGATTCAGGGAGATCTCGGTGAGCGCAGGCCAACCATGTTTTCAAAAAAATAAAAAATATATTTTTTTTTACCCACTTTTGGGGCCAACCAGAATTCCGGTTGGACCACCGAGGGTCCAACCGGCCAGTTGCCGGCACAGCCACATGATTCCGGAGTAGCACCAAAAACGGCTATAATGACTGGGCGTTCTATTCGGGTGAAGACGGTGGGGATCCACACGGAACGGGCTGAAGACGGGCGTCTTCATTGTGGGAGGATCGTGGTTGGGGATGGGATTGGCTGGCGGGAGTGGACGGGCGTCTTCATTGTGGGAGGATCGTGGTTGGGGATGGGATTGGCCGGGGGGAGTGCCGCTCCCAGCCCGGTTCGGTTACGACATTCATGTGAGGGACGCGGGCCCGTTTCCCGGTTTTATAACGCAAAGTTGCTGGTGTTAAAAGAGAAAAAAAAGAAACTGCACGCTAGTTTTCGTCTCGCAACATGTTCCCACCTCACACTACGTACCCACATGCCTCGTGCTATCCCTCCACATAATCAACCACCACATACCTTGTGCTACACATCCCGATAATCAACCAGCAAGAGCCTAGCGTATCCTTGGGAAAGGGGTAAATCTACTAGCATGGGTTGAGCTGATCGATCCCCTCAGGGATGAAACTACCCCTAGGGCCCTAGCGATGGATGGAAGGGGTCACGGAACCTAACCCCTAGGGAGTGAACATCAGCGGAACGTAAGGCGAACGACCCTACCGGTTTCGGCTGGCCCCCGTGACCAGCGCTCATCAGGGGTCGCTGGACTGCTGGCTTAAAGCACCAATACATGCCACAGCTATTGGCCGCGGGCCCCTTCAGAGGCCACCCACCGCCGCTTCATTTTATCTACGGCGTTCGGCCTCCTACATTTCCGGAGAGGCTCAAAACAGGTCCTCCATTTGCCTGGGGCCAGGCACTGGTGGTTCAAGGGTCCCGACAATCCGGCCGAACTGTCTGGACAGCTCCAGGCAGAGATTGTGGAAATGGTCTGTGCTGCTTATGGAAACGGTCTGCTGTCGGCAGACAGGCACAGAGTCACAGACAGACCTTTCCCAAAGCTTTTTTTTTTTTCTTTTTTTACCTTTCGCAACAGTCCGGTTACTTATCCCCGGCAAGCATGTTTGTATAAAGACAGTTGGGCAGAAAAGAAAATAGAAGAAGGGTCAGCCTAGCCCTTGTGGGGCACTAACCGCCTGAGGAAGGGGGGGCAGCTTCTGTGCGTTCCCCGCCGCGCCCCCCCCCCCCCCCCCCCCC